ATTTGGTGATCCAGGACAAGCATGGTGACTCACACCTGTAATCCCAGCACTTTGGGAGGTAGAGGTGGAAGGAATGCTTGAGGCTAGGAGCTTGAGACTAGTCTGGGGAACATAGTGAAACTCCATCTCTACAAAAAACAAAAAATAAATGCAACTTTTATTTTATTTTTTTTTAATTGAAGTCTCACTCTGTCACCCAGGCTAGAGTGCAGTGACACTCTCCCGGCCACTGCAACCTCGACCTGCTGGGCTCTGGCGATCCTGCTGCCTCAACCTTCTAAGTTGCCGGAACTACAGGCGCGTGCTACCACACCCAGCTAATTTTTTATTTATTGTAGAGATGAGGTCTCACCACGTCTTGCCCGGGTAGGTCTCAAACCCGCAGGCTCAGGCAATCCACTCACCTCGGCCTCCCAAAGAGCTGGGATTACAGGTTGAGCCACCGAACCCAGCCATACAACTTTTAAAAAAGGATTTGGAGCCAGGCTCAGCCGGTAATCCCAGCACTTTGGGAAGCTGAGGCAAATGGAAGGCCTGATCCTGTGGGTTTGAGACCAGCCGGGGCAACTTGGCAAGACCTCATCTTTACAATAAAAAAAAATTAACCAGATGTGGTAGCATGCACCTATAGTTCTGGCTACTTGGAAGGCTGAGGTGGAAGAATCAATGGAGCCCAGCAGGTCAACACTGGGGTGGCCGTGAGTGTGCCACTTCAAGCCAGCCTGGGCGACAGAGAGAGACTCCAACTTAAAAAAATAAAAAGTATTTGGTGACCTAATGAGTGTGTGTGTTAGGTATACGAGATTGAAAAAATTGTGAAAAATAAGGAAGAGTCTGAGACAGAGCTAAGGCTTCAGGTTTGTGTAATTGGTTAGACAGAGATGTCATTACAGGGCATGGGCACTAGAAAAGAAGGATCAGTTTTGGGGACCTGCGACTGGAGATCTACAGCAGTCCCACTGAACAATTGGAACTATGATTTTCTAGTTTAGAAGAGAAATTCAAAATATAAATTTGGGAGCCCATACGTGGAAAGCAAAGCCCTGACCATAGCTGAGGTTACCTAGGATGTAGAAATAAAAGAGACTTCAATGCTTAAAAAGGAACAGAGGAGCAATGACAGAGACTAAGGATGAGTGAGCACTAAGGAGAGAGGAGAATCAAGAAAGAAAAGGGTTTTGTTAGCCAAAGGGAGACTTTCAGCAACATGGGGGTAATAACTTGTATTCCGATATCTATGTGTGTATGTACAAAGAATGAGGACTGAAATGATACTGTTGGGTTCAGCCATCAGATGAGTTTTGAAACAACTGTTCTTCTAGAAAGGTGAATTCAAAATCCAAGATTATCATAGATCACTCATTTGGTTTGCCCTGATACTGCGAAAGAGGTGGTATGGATAGAATCCCGAGAAATGTTTACGCTCCCCCATAGATTTCGTTATTTATATCACTGAAGTAGTAGAGTTTCATGCATCAAAGTGCAGGCTCTGGAATAAGACTGCCTGGGTTCAAATCCTAGCCTTGTCATTTACTACTGTGGGTCACTTATATTGTAGGACTTGGGCAAGCTACTTCCCCTGTTACTTAGTTTCTGCATCTCTAAAATGAGGGTACTAAATTGATGTGACCATTACATGTAAAGCACTTTGCACATTACCACATAAGCACTCAATACATATTCAGTATTATTATGGTTACAATTCACGGCCCTGCCAGTACTGAATGTTGATATATTGCCTTCTGACTTTTAAGTGGTACACTTTTTAAAGGGCTCCTCTTTCCTCTCCTCTCATAAACCCAAGAAAGGTGGTGAGGAGTCCTTCTGCTCAGGCTAAAATAAGCCCCAAGTTTGGGCCACTGGAACAAGTGGAACGCCTGACAGGGAGCCCAAAGCAGAACAGTCTGGG